ATAACAGTGACTTAAGTATACAAATAAGAGGAATATGCAATTCACATTTAGATCAATGGACACATTCACATAGACATAAGCACTAGCATCCTAAATTCCATGCTGGAAAATTTCTGTATGATTCCAGCCGGAGGCCACATGGCAAGCTCTGCAGAGGTTTCGATTTTAGCCTGAATTGGAACAGAAACTGTCTGCACAGCATTCTACTACAGGTTGCCAGGTTTCAGACTCCACCTAGAATTATGGGAGTTTTTGACACCAAGCAAGCAATAGTAGTGCACTGTCTTAAAGACACTCAAAATCTGAGCTGATATTTTTTGAAATGTTATTGAGAAGGACTATATCATGGTGTTATTGAGAGAAAAGCAATTTTTAGTTAACCGAATGATACATTTTAAAAATAGGTTATATCTTTGTCACCTGCAGTAAATTAGACTGTTTTATTTTCTTTCATTTTGCTTTGGACAACCCAATACACAAAATGTGGCTTTAAAAAAGAAGTTCACAATTTCTGCTAAATAGCCCAGCAAAGGTCTCCAGTCTGATGAACTACAGGAAGTGCCAAACTGCCCAGATATAATTCAGATAATCATCAAACTGCATGTTCCATGTTATGTTCCATTTACTCATAATGAAGTATGATGTAACTCAACATGACCTAGCAGGACCTCACATTTCAAGACAGCATGACAAAAAGCATTCAGTGGATGAGTTTCTTTGTTGGGATTATGCTCCCCACTGATGGTTTCCTTTCAACAGATGTCTAAGTGAGAAAGGACAAATATTTAATTGCAAGTTATTATAAAACACTGAGAAAGTCAAATTCTCAATTTCCAAGTAACAATGGTAATAATTTTTTTGTCCCTTTCCCCCTTTTTCATATACATTCTGATACTCAGCTTCAGTACTAGAATAAGGGACATCATTCTGAGTAACAATCTGAATTGGGTATGGTGAGGCTTTGTACTGGCAAAAAAAACATTCTTTAACTAAAAACAGAATTTTCTAGTTTACTGGATAAATACCAGAAGAAATTTGTGGAATCATGTTGGGTTGCTAAGCAACCAATAGTTCCAGTGTCACTTGTTTGTGATCAATTCAAGTCATTCATCAGGCTCTGAAGCACCATGCTAAGGAATTCCAACAAATTTGTTACTTGGGAAAGCCACAGAGACTTCCTGCAACACAATAACACTTTCATTCTTAGAAGATAAACTTAGATGTTCTTTTGATGAAATGTGATATGTTAATTCATTATTCTTAACATACTACTAATGGGCAAAGCTTTAATTAACTACACCATTGTAACACATGCAAGATAAAATGGAGTAATTAGTGCTGCTTAGAGTAGTCACTATCTTCTCCCACTGGGAAAAAGAAGAAGGAAGCTTCCTTATCATGCAAACAGTTGTCCACAAAAATCACTATAGTAATGTACAGCTAGCTTTTGTTGATGTCTTTTTCCAGTGATATGTGATAAATTACACTTTTAATGGCAAACAAAATGGCTGCAATCCAAGGTACACTAGGCAGACATAAAATACTGTGAATAATACAATCTTTCATTTAAAAGGAATGCTTATCTCTGAGCTTTCTGGAATAACTATTATGCCTTCACTCATTAAGTTTAATTACAAATGTGGCACATAGTAAATGCCCATAATAATTACATTCTCTATAGACAGAGGCAGTGAGTTAAGGATAAAACTGTAATCAAAATGCACATAATTGAAAATGCAGTATCCTTACTGTCTTATTTCAGTCCCTGGTTCAGAATTCCTTATAGTTTGATTGTTTAAAATGTTGCACTGTATTAACAATTTCAGTTAATGTAATGTACTATGCTTATATTATTGTTAACATTTCTACACAACCAATTTGCTTATAATTTTTTCGGTCATGGATATTTCCCAGAATTTTCATGCAAATCCTGTGTTTATTTTCTCTTCTGCATAAATTATTTTGTCTCTTGCCTTCTTCTCGTTATCACAGGACCTGGTCTCGTAATCAACTTACTCAGGCAAAACTGCCATTGACAAGCAAAGAACCCTTGCTTGAGAAAGTAATGAAGAAGCTGGGTTCACAAGCCCTTTCAATTCCATTAAAAACAATTTGCCCTTCTGAGAGCAAATCATTCAGTAATTTTGCAGACACCATTAAAGGTTATATTAGGACATCCATATATCACATTAAAATCATCCCTAAAATGAATATTCTATATTTTGCTTTTACAAGATGGTAACCAAATTTGGAAACAATTTTGTTAAGTAAATAAAATCTGCATGCAAAGGATCATGGCTGATAATGTGCCAATGATCACATGAATAGTTCCCATAATGCTATTGACATTACTGTTTCCAAATTTAATCACCATATTTTAAAGAAGCATATAGAATACTAATTTTAAGGATGATTTTTATTGTATAAAACACTGTCTCTCTCATTGGATATTACTAGGTATGAGTTCATAATATTTGTTCAAAAGTGCTCCTTGGTGCTTATGAAGTTCTTCCTAATACCATTAACATTTACTTTTTACAACATAATTTATCAGATCAAATAACACTCTAGAGTCACACAAAATGAGATTACTCAAATCATTTGTGAAATTTCCAAACAATAGGAAAACCTATGCTTGTATATGACTTATGCATGCAAAATGTACTGCATTTACAGACATTAATTTACAATTTCTCTGTCCATCTGGCTAAAACACGTCAGTCAAAAACATGAACCAAATCATCTTAGTGAGGAGCTGTGTGTGAAAAGGCAACTTCTGTTTCCTGGTGCAAAGGCTTGTGTAGGCTGTTTGTTCTACTACATTGCATAGAAGCCCATTGAAATTACACAAACTGAAAATTTAAGTGGAACCACTTAAAACTGGGGTTAGCAAAATTATACACAGATGTATCTTTTGATTAAAAATGTGGATTGTAGAATGAGTATATCATTAAATTACCATGTACCACCAATACCTATAAACGATTGAATTTCTCCCTACTTTTAGTGAATTCATCTACATTTTATTGCAAAGATAATTACACAACTCTAATGAAAGATGATAAATATTTATAAGAAAAAGAGATGACTACCTGTACTGAAAAAACAACCACCCGCCAAAAAAGGAGAATGTGAAAATATAATCCCCAAAGGAACCCAACTGAGATTGGCAAACTTGAACTTTCACAAAGCGAGATGAAATTCAGAAGAAACAGTCCTAAAACTATCCTCTCAAGCCATCTGTGATTGTGAGCTTGGATACAAACCCACTTCTTTTCTTCCTCTGCTGAAAGTTCCCCCTTGTGTTTTCTAGCACTGAAGACCAAACTTTAGCCGGGCAGCAGTTTTACACAGTGTGTCACAACATGCACTTAAAACAAAAAAACCACACACCCTGCAGCCAGACTGCCTGAACAATGGACGGACCATCTCAAAATGCCTCTGACTCAGGAAACGCGTGAAGCAGCAACTCGCTGGTCGCTTGCTCCCCAAGACACGTGTGAGGCGGGGACCTCTCCCCCAGCGCCCCTGGGAAGCGAAGTCGGACAGCGACACGATTCCGAAGCCTAAAGCCCTGCCAAAAAACCACACACCCTGCAGCCAGACTGCCTGAACAATGGACGGACCATCTCAAAATGCCTCTGACTCAGGAAACGCGTGAAGCAGCAACTCGCTGGTCGCTTGCTCCCCAAGACACGTGTGAGGCGGGGACCTCTCCCCCAGCGCCCCTGGGAAGCGAAGTCGGACAGCGACACGATTCCGAAGCCTAAAGCCCTGCCGCCTACCCCGCTGCATAGCTGGACTGAGCGGCGCTCCCTCGCTACACCGAGCGGCTGCGCTTGGCATCCCGCTCCCAGGCAGAGCCCTTCCAAAGCGGGGACCAGCTACGACTAGGCTGGGCGGTCACTCCAGCCCAGCCGCTCTGTTGCGGGCAGCCGCCGCCT